ATCACGCCACGCTTCTTCGCCTCAGCAACACGGGACGATTGCGACACGCGCGCGTACAGCCGTGCAGGGTCGCTTGCAACGCGTTCAAACTCCTCCAGCTCGCTCAGTACAGCCTCGCGCGCAACAATGGCGGCGCGCACCTCCTCCCACAGCTCAACGGCCTGACGCAGGGCATGCAGCGTGTGGCCCTGCACACCACTGCCGTGACCACTGGGACCACCGCCACCAGCGGCGCTTCGTGCTGCGCGCGTGTGTGCGGATGTGCGGACGCCGCGAATGCGATCGGCGACATCGAGCGGCTGCAGGCGGTGGCGCCGGCTGATGATGGTGGTTGATTGTTGAAGGTGGTGAATGGTTGATGGTGGTGATTGGTGGATGAGTTGGGGCATTGGAAAGGCACAATAAGCAAATGAGACGCACTCTGTTCTTCTTCAACAACGGTCACCACCATGACACACACACACACACACACACACACAAACACACACACACACACACACACACACACACACACACACACAAAAGCAACCACGCGTGCCGTTCTTTCCCCACTCTCTCCTCGCCCCCCCCTACTTCCCTGCGTCACCAACACTGCGGCTTACGTTGTGGCCGATCCTGGGCGAGAGTACTTGACGCTGCTGTAGAGGATTGCCTTGTCTAGTTTCTCCATGGTGCTCAGCCGGAGGTCCCGCCAAACAACATCGAACCGCCGCTGCAACGCATCGAATTCCCGCTGCCGCCTGCACAGGGGCAAACACGGGTCGTGGTGATGGCGGTGGTGGTGCACGTGAGGTTGTGTGAGGTTGTTCGTATGTATGGGTAAGTGTCTTCGTGCGCCAAGGACATTGGGAGGCAACGATCCAAGTCATGCCACCATCAGCAAATTCATCGTCATGATCGTTGTGATCGTTGTGATCGTTGTGATCGCACTTCATCTCATGGTCGTCGCCTGTGAGCTGATCCAGCGCAAGATCATTCATATCCGCAGCCAGGCCGCCCATCTGCACCAAACACACACACACACACATGTGTCAAGTGAGAGTCGGTTGAGTGGAAGGAAGGCCTGTGCAGAAGGATGTGCACACGCAAACAAACAACCAACCAACCAACCAATCAACCAACCAACCAACCAATCAACCAACCAACCAACCAATCAACCAACCAACCAACCAACCAATCAACCAACCAATCAACCAACCAACCAATCAACCAACCAACCAAAGAAGCAAGCAAGCAAGCAAGCAAGCAAGCAAGCAAGCAAGCAAGCAAGCAAGCAACCAAACCAACCAACCAAACAACCAAACAACCAACCAAACAAATAAACAAAACAGAGTGTCCCTCATCACCATGGTGAGCCCACCTGCACGGCGTTGACGTTCCACATGCCCTTCTCGTACGACTTCTTCTCCTGCAGCAGCTGCTGGGAGCGGGCGTGATGCACAGCGAGCGCCTCTCGTCGCGCCTGCACCTCCGCCTCGTCCTCCTCAAGATCCGGCGGCGCCCGCTCAGGGAACATGCTGCCATCACGTGGGGAACGTCGATGTTGTTGTTGTTGTTGTTGTTGTTGTCGTTGTTGTTGGTTGTTGTTGTTGTTGTTGTTGTTGTTGTTGTTGTTGTTGTTGTTGTTGTTGTTGTTGTTGTGAAAGTGTGCGTGTGTGAGAAATTGTGTGAAGTTTGGGTGTGTGAGTGCACGTCAAAGCAGCATTTCACGTCCCTGGCTCCAACATGCACAAACACACACACACACACACACATCTGCAATCGTGCACGCAAACGTTCATGTCTTCTCTCCCTTTTGTCCTTTTCACGCTGTCCAATCTATCCTGTGCACTCACGAGAAGACGGCGGGGAGGAAGTCTGCCTCGTGCTCCTCCAGCCACTCCTTGTAGTCGACAAACTCAAGCGTGTTCTGCCACCACTTGAGCCACGACTCGTACTGCCGCGCCTGCCGCGCCTGGGTTGTGGTGGTGGCGATAGTGGTGGCGATAGTGGTGGTTGTGGTGGTGGCGATGGTGGTGGTGGGGTGTGAGCAGACTTCAGACGAATACACGAGACCAGCAACAACAACAAGAGCAACAAGAACAACAACAAGAACAGCAGCAACAACAAGAACAACAAGAACAACAAGAAAAACAAGAACAACAACAACAACAACAACAAATTCAAGAAGAAGAACAAGAACAGCAACAACAACAACAAACAAACAAGAACAGCAACAGCGAACTCCATGCGATAATGTGTCCCTGCGTGCTGTCGTTGTGAACTTACGAGGTGTTGTTCAGAGGGGTTGGCGACCACTTTTGGCGGGCGATTGCGATATGAGCGGTGAAACCGCTTTTCCTTCTTCTCCTTCTCATCCTTCTCCCCACCTCTCTGCTTGCGGCCCTTCTTGCTCGTGCCGTTGCCGTCACCGTTGTCTTTCTTGGTGTCGCCGGCAGTTGCCGCTGTCACTGCCAAGAGAGTGTGGCGTTGAGTTGAATGAGCATGAAAATGTGTGTGCACGTGTGCACGTGTGCATGTGAGTGGCGGTCAAACGATACAAGCTCTTGTACGAACAGCACTTGTCATTGCATCAGCTGACACGGTTCTCCCCAAAGCCTTCTTGTGTACATGTGTACGTGTGCATGTGTGTGTGTGTGTGCGTATGAGTGTGTGTGTGCATGTGCACGTGTGTTGACATACACTCTGACGCCGCCGTCTCCTTGAGCGCCTCGTCGTTGCTCATGAGGACGTTGTTGACAGAGAACGGAAACTCGTTGTCGGCCCTTTGCAGGTTTCGATACGCACGAACAAAGCGATTGGTGGGAAATGTGAGAGCAGGGTAGCAACAAACATGCACGCACCCTCACACACACACACACACACACACACACACACACACACACACACACACACACACACACACACACACACACACACAAGAGTTGCAAGCAATCCTTCGTGCGTGCGTGCGTATGGTGTTCACCTGTGTGGCATGAGCGCTCCCGCGATGTCCAAATCCTCTGGCGCCGGCAGCACCTGCCCAAATATCCTGTGCACATACACACGCATGTGTACAGATGATGGTGGCGGGTTGGAACATGCGGTGAGGAAAGCAATTGCGTACGTTCAAGCACACCCACATACACATACACAGACAGACAGACAGACAGACAGACAGACAGACAGACAGACAGACACACACACACACACACACACACCCGCACTCACACACACGCACACACACACACACACACACACACACACACGTACTCACCCATATGAGTGCAGCTCGCCCAGGGTGTCGTCCACGATGGTCTTGAGCGTGAATTCCTCTGAAAGTTTTCCGTATATTTTCGTCATTGAGACGAAGCGGTAGAGCGGGTCGTCCATGTCGGATATGGCGGCGGGCGTCAGCTGATGGTGGAGGAGGAAGGGGGGGGGGTGGTGAGGTGATGCGTTCATGACACAAATGAGACAGACAGACAGACAGACAGACAGACAGGTACGGAGAGACAAACAGGCTCACACACACACACACACACACACACACACACACACACACACACACACACACACACACACACACACACACACACACACACACACACACACACACACCAACGCACCGCTGGGTCGTTCTCCATGAAGATGGGGAGGGAGGGCTGTAGCGTGATGAACCAGACGAGCTCTCGATCAGAGACGCGCGGGACCCGCGGACGGAAGTGCAGGTCATCGTCGTCCGCAGCCGATAGCGGTGCCTGTTGTGGCCGTCATCGTGGTGTTGTTGTTGTTGGTGGTGATGGTGGTGTCGGTGATGTAAGGACGCGTGGTAACGTGTGCGCGTATGTGTATGTGTGCACGTGTGAAAATGTGAGGGGGAAACAGGGCTGACGACAACCGAACCACGGTGGGCACACGTGTGCAACAAACATGTGTAAAACAACATCAGCATTCACATGCGCGCGCGCGTGTGTGTCGACTGACGTTGGCAACAAACTCCTGGACGTGTGGGTGTCTTCGTGTTGCGTGGGAGAGAAGGTACCGACGCCCCGTCGGCCGCTCTTGCTCAGGTGGCGGGCGCTTCGGCTGGAACCACAAAACGGGAGAGGGAGAGGTGTGGAGGGAGGGAGGTGAATGATTTTGTTTGTTTGTTTGTTTTTGTATGTGTGTGTGTGTGTGTGCGCATGTGCGGAGGAAAGTGACGAGTATTGCGACGACAACAACAGTACACGACAACAACGACAACAGCCAAACAGGGCAACGCGTGCGCACCAGCACGGGGTCGAGCAGGTGTTTGGTGTTGAGATGTGCACTCAAGATGGGATCCATGTCACCTGCACCAAGGGAAACCAAAGGAACGAGAACGCGTGAAACCTTCGCCGACCATCCCAACGCTTTGACTCAGTCCTGCTTCTTCATGCCCCAGCAATAGCAACACACGCACACGCACACACAGACACACAGACACACGCACACACGCACACACAGACACAGACACAGACACAGACACACACAGACACACGCACGCACAGACACACACAAACACACACGCACGCACAGACACAGACACACACACCGACACAGGCACACACACCGACACTCACACACGTACACAAACCCCCCTGCACACTCCCAACCGCTGCTGCCTCACCGATGTCGGCGTCTGGTTTCTGCCGCCACCGCAGCATCGCCTGCGTCATATCGTGAACCTCTCGCGCGTGCTGCTTTCGCTGTCGTGTTGTTGCGCTGTCCGCAGGCGCCCGCTTCGTGGCTGCTGTTTCTGCTGTTTCTGCTGTTGCTGCCGTGAGCTGCGACGGCGTGGCTGCGAGCGTGCCCGTGCTCTCGACACGCGGGACGGTGCTGGAGGCAACAGCCGCTACAGACGCAGACGTGCGCAGTGCCATTGAGTCTCGCTTCTCCTGCTGCGAAAACGACGCCATAAGCAGTCGCGATGACATGGGCGGCGGTGTCGGGATGTTGACGCTGCCGTCTGTTGCCGGGCGCGTTTGCGACTGCGCGAGGGAGGTGGAGCGACGTGCACGGTACGCTTTCGATCGGCGGTGGCGGCGGCGATGATTGTGCTGGTGCTGGTGTGTTGATGGTTTGGGTGTCTCGTCCACGCCGACTTGCCCTTCATCCTCTCGCTCTGCTTCCTCCTGGTGGGTGTGGAGGCGGGATGAGGGTGGTGGGGGTATGGGTACGTGCAGTGTTTGAAGTGCAGCGAACATGCATGAGCGGTGAAGACAGGTGCGTGGATGGATACAACGAAAACCAGACACAATCAAGCGCATGGAACCGGCAAGGAGGAGTTAGAAAGGAGGTTTGAAGGAGGAATAACGAAGGAAACAAAGAGCAGGGAACAAGGAACACGGGGAACAAGGCAGCACAGTACAAGAAGCAAGGTGTCATGTAACAACGGCCTACCTGTGTGTAAAACAGGGAGGACAGGCACGAGGCGCTAACGGCGCGGCGAAGGGACCGGCGACCAGGTCCGCTTGTCCGCCACTTCACGTCCTCCAACAACCGCTCCATCGACAGCGGCTCCAAGATGGTTGGCAGTGACGCCCGCCGCCGCCGCGCCGAAGGCGACGCTACCATGCTCTCATCACCATCACCACCACCATCATCATCACCATCATCACGACCATCACCAGCACGACGACGACGACGACCACGCAATCGCTGCTGCCGCTGTTGTTCGAGTTTTTGTTGCGCTTCCACAGGTACATCAACCACAATCACACGACCGCCATCACCATCATCATTATCATCATCATCGCGCACAAGGCCACTGTCCCCGCTTCGCTGATGAGGCGGTGCAAGCCTCCCTCCCTGCATGTGCACACCCGCATCCATGCCCACACCTGCACCAGGCATTGCAGCCGACATCATGCTCGCCGACGATGGTGATGGCGACGGCGACTGTGTCGAGAGCGTGCGCGTGCCGCTGCTGTCGTACTGCACGAGGTGCTGGTTTGCAAACGGCAGCCCGAGCGCGGCCATCTGGCGAACGGAGAGCGCAGACGGGGATGTGTTTACCACCGACACGCGGCGTGAAACCGCTCCCTCCAGCACCGACTCAAGCTCTGGTGGTTGATTGTCGGTGGTGGGCGGTGGAAGAAAGGCAACGAGGCGATGGGACGTGAGAAACATGCGTGTGTTGCGTGTGTGTTTGTGTGTGTGTATGTGTGAGTATGTGTGAGTGTGTGTTTGTGCGTGAGTGTATGTTTATATGTGTGTGTGCGTGAGTGTGAGTGCGTGTGTGTGTGTGTGTGCGTGAGTGTGAGTGCGTGAGTGTGAGTGCGTGAGTGTGAGTGCGTGAGTGTGTGTGACTACATCTTGCTTCAAAGGCGCTCTGTACTACAGTCGCGCGTGCTTGCAGGCACGGCACCTTTGATTCGCTTGAGGGAGGTGTCAAAGGGGATGCTGGGCATTTTCATGTCGCGTTTCAGTGCCGCGATGCGGTCCGACAACTGGCGCTGGTACTTGTCATCTGCAAGGGCGGTGGTGGTGGTGGTGGTGGTGGTGGTGGTGGTGGGGATGGTCACATCAAAATGAACTCAAGCATGAGAGCAACAGCACACACACACACACACACACACACACCGTACACACATTACACGCAATCTCTCACTCTCACTCTCTCACTACCATTTCCTCTCGCTTCATACCTCGCATGTCTTGGATGATGTACCATCGAATGAGCATGTAGACTGGCACATGACGTGTTGTTGATGTGCCTGCAAGCAAAACCAATGTCAGAGACGTTGGTAGACGGGGTCAGTGAAGTCTACGAACCTGTGTGCTGCGAGTTTGGCTCACAGTGTGCAAAACAGGCGAGCAGCTTGCACACACAGACACACGCACGCACCCAGACACAGACACACAAAACACACCCACAGACACACGCACGCACACAGACACAGACACACAAAACACACGCACCCTGGAGGTCTTTGCTGGCCTGAGTGACAATGACAGGGCGACAGGGTCTGTTCTTGGAGCGCTTGAGCTGCTCCCCGAGATAGGCGCTAATCTCCTTGATCTTGAACGCCCTGCGCGCATCGCCAGCGAGTTTGGACAGATAACGGATGGTGTTGGCGCTGTCGGAGAAGACGCCTCGCTGGCGCGCACGGTCTGGTGTGTGTGCAGCGTGTTGCAAACAGGATGGGGGGGGGGGTAACAGAGGGTGAGCTGAGGAGGTGTGTGGTGTGGGATGTGTGCATGTGTGTGCACGTGCGTGTGTGCGTTTGGTTGTGCAATTTGTACGTCATGTGTGTGTGTGTGTGTGTTTGGGTGCACTTTGAATGTTGAGCTTACTGAGCAAGGTTCGTAGTCGTCGATACAGCAGCACGGAAATCTCAATCAGCGTCCACGGAATACGTCGGTCAATCTGATGGTGCGAGCAATGCATTGTTTGGGCATTGGTGGTGAGGATGCCGCAGGGAACAGAAACAGGACCACAACAGCGCAAAAGGCTCAGTTTGACATGCATGTACACCCACCCACACCCCCCCCCCACACACGCACACACGCACACACGCACACACACACACGCACACACACACACACACACACACACACACACACACACACACACACACACACACACACACACACACACACACATACATTCACATGACCTGGCATGCCGATGCCTGCAAGGATCACCGACCTCTTTGTTGATGGCATCTGAGAGCACGGCGTTCCACTTGCGCCGCGAAAAGTCGTCCCACGCGCGTTTGAGCTCCGTGATGATGACATCGTGGAAAGGCGCCATACCTGCGGTGAGCAGGGAGGCGGCAGCAGCAGGAGAGAGACAGGGGGGAACACAAGATGAGGGCGGTTGTTGTATCCGAAGGAGAGAGATAGACGGACACAGACACAGGCATACATACAGAGGCGCATGTACACGTACACATACACACTCACGCGCGCGCGCACACACACACACACCTGTTGGTGTAAAGCCTGCAGGACGGGGCTCTTCGAGGAATCGTTCAAGCACTGCGTGCAGCAGGTGGTCTTGGGTCCGGACATGACCGACGGCTGGATCCGTGTCAAACGCGTCGCTGGAGCCACTGCTACCACTCAACTCTGTTAACAAGGCAGCAGCAGCACACACACACATCAGCAAACCAACAACATCAACAACAATAACGTCATGCGCAAGCTATGCCACTTGAAACACAGCCACTTCCAACACAGTGAACAACAAGCGGCAACAGCAATCCACAACAGCACACACAGACACACAGACACACACACACACACACACACACACACACACACAGACACAGACACAGACACAGACACACACACACAGACACACATACCTTTCTGGAGTGCTTGAAGCTTTGATTGCACATCCTTTTCTCGTTCTCGGGTGTCTTCCAAGTCCTCATCCACTCGCGACATGGCTGCGCAGCCCGCAGGGCCTTGGCAAAGCACAGCGAGCAAAAACAACGCAGGCGAGCAAGCCAGCCAGCCAGCCAACGAAGATGTATTGGTCTTCTCTTGTCGCTGCTTCCTTCACAACCACCCAATAATTTACCAACCGCCAATCGATTTTGCCAACAGCAGCGTTGATTTTACCAACACCCCGTTGGCAAAAAGCCGCGCGAAGCCTTCGCTCGTCCACCTCATCCTTTGTTTGCCCTCCACTTCGCTTCGCTCTTCTGCTGTGCGTGTCCTGCCAATGCCGAAAGTGTGAGTGTGCACGATCAGCACCAAACGACAACAACTCAGCTGAGGAAAGCACACATTGACCGTCCAGCAATGTCGACGGATCGACAGGCAGCACCGCTGCCAAGCGACACAACAGCAACTTCAGCCTTGCCAGAGGTACACACGCACACACACATTGCGATGTGTTTGTTTGGCTGTGGCTGTGGTTGTGTGTAGGTGTTGTGGTTGTGGCTGTTGTGGGGACTCAGTGCATGTACTATCGCGCCCCTCGCTTGCTTGCTCACTTGAAGATTGTACTCACGCACATGCAAACCCACTTTGCTGCCCCGCTCTCGGCTCACATCGGCTCCACCTCGGGGTTGCTCGTACAGTATGCCGAGATGCAGCCAGGTGTGTGTGGTGCAATGGCATGCGGGGTTTTGAGTACATTGCGTTTGTAATTCAATTGGTCAATTGATGTAGGGGTTCATGGTTCTATCATGCGCTTGATGTGGCAAAACCCTCACACCCAGCTCGCTGCTCGTGCATGGTTAGGCCCCTATGGCGGAGATGCACAGGAAGAAATCCACTACACTGCTCTGGATGACGCAAACGTTCCAGACTCCCCAGCGCATGTTCGTCTTTTGATGCGTGTTGTCTCGCGTGATCAGTGCCTTGTGTGCATCGATCGGGTTGTTGCTACTCGTTGTGACACTGCTCGTGCCTCTCACATATGAAGTGCCGCACCTCGTTTTGCACACATACTTCGTTGTTTTGCATTCTCAGACAAAGCGAATGTCATCGTCGTCCCGGTTCTCCACAGCAAGCTCAGCGTAAGATGAACACTCACACACACATACACGCACACACACACTCCTTTCGATGCGTCAAACGCACTGCTGCCGTTCCCGCTTGGCCTGACACCCGTCTCCCATCTTGTGTGTGTGTGTGTGCCAAATCATTATGTTGTGCAGAGATTTCCACCGTCGCCTCATGTCTGTTGCGTCTCAAGACAAGCCGCCCCGCCCATGTGAGCCGCGTCGTGCGTGCCGACGCTGTGTGTGTGTGTGTGTGTGTGTGTGTGTGTGTGTGTGTGTGTGTGTGCGTGCGTGCGTGCATGCGTGTGTGTGTGTGTGTGTGTGTGCGTGCGTGTGTGTGTGTGTGTGTGTGTGTGTGTGTGTGTGTGTGTGTGTGTGTGTGTGTGTGTGTGTGTGTGTGTGTGTGTGTGTGTGTGTGTGTGTGCTTGTGTTTGTCTACGCTCGTGAACGGAGCAGACGAGCGTGTCATGGCACTGCTCTGCGACTACGACCGCCCGTACGATGACACCATCTGCTCGGCGGAGGCAGACACCGTCAAGCGCCACATCGCCACAGAGGCAAAGTCAGTTCGCCAGCCTGTGTGTCTGCTTATGTGTGTGTGTGTGTGTGTCTGCTTATGTGCGTACGTGTGTTTATGCGTGTTGGCACATGCTTCACCTCATGTGTTTCAGCCACCATCCTTGACCAATTGCACCTTCATCTCGCTTACGAACACCACCACAACACACACCATCACCACCACTGCGATCATCACACCCATCATTACAACGATCATCACGGCGGCGGTGCCGACTGGGGTGCAGACTTCCTCCAAAGCCAATGGAGCCGCGTCTCCGCCACATGCCGCCGGCGTCGCACACACACGCGCACGCACCGGATGTTACTTCCACCACCAGCAGTGATGGCAAGGACAGCGGCGAGGGCTCGACTGACGCAACGGGCGATGCGCAGCAGGCACCACCGGTACGTTACCGAGTTGTGATGATGATGATGATGATGATGATGATGATGATGATGATGATGATGATGATGATGATGATGATGATGATGATGATGATGATGATGATGATGATGATGATGATGATGATGATGATGATGATGATGATGATGATGGATACGAGGATGGTTGTCATGCTGCATTGTTACCTCACACCTTCCATTCATACGAGGATGGTTGTCATGCTGCATTGTTACCTCACACCTTCCATTCACGCTTGCTTGTGTCCCTTGTGTGCGCGCGTGCATGTGTTTAGCCCCTCCCAGTGCGCCGGAGTTTCATTGAGCAAGGCATTGGCATCATCCCAGCTGACACGAACCTCCACACCTGCAGCTGGTACTTTGAGGTGAGCTGCTGCTTCTGCTTCCTGTGGAGTCGGTGTCGTTTGTGCTCATGCGTGCGCGTTGTTCACGGATAATCAACTCACGAACACACACACACACACACACACACACACACACACACACACACACACGTTTCACATCTAATGCTCGTTACCCAGGGCACGACGCGCGTGCAAGCTGAGGCACTGCTGCACACACCGGGCACATTTCTCATCCGCCGCAAGTCGCCCGACGCCGAGCCAGCGCTCTCCCTGCGCACATATGACCGCTGCCTCCACTACAAAATCTACTTTGTGCACGAGCGTGGCTTCACCTTTGGGTCTGCCGATGACAAGTTTTTTTCCTCCATTGTGGATTTGGTGCGCTTTTACCAGCGCAACCCGCTGCCCGCCATTGAGATAATGCTCGGCATGCCCATCGAAGTCTAGCTGATGATGTATGCTCTGTGTGGGTGTGTGTGTGTGTGTGTGTGTGTGTGTGTGTGTGTGTGTGTGTGTGTGTGTGTGTGTGTGTGTGTGTGTGTGTGTGTATGTGTTTGTGTGTGTATCCGATACAAGCGCGAGTCTAAGATATCTGTGATGTCTTGGAGCGCGCGCGTGAATCGCAAGAGAGAGGTGCGTCTGCTCGTCGGACCGGGGGAGGTGAATTCGAGATGAAAGCCGAAACGCACACGCATTCACGCACATGCGTGCTAGCTCGCACGTGAGCCGCCACGCACGACTGTCTGGCTGTTTCTGTAAGCAAAACACCCGAACCCAAAAGAAAGAAACAGATCGATAACCA